AGATATCGGATTTAGTCTAAAATACCATGTTTCAGTTTGTGTTTACAAATTATCCATCGCAAAAGCTATATAATATTTTAGTCAATTTCCCAGATACAAAAGGACAACGTATTGGTTGGTTTCCCAGATACAAAAAGACAACGTATTAGTTGATTTCCCAGATACAAAAAGACAACGTATTAGTTGATTTCCCAGATACAAAAAGACAACGTATTAGTTGATTTCCCAGATACAAAAAGACAACGTATTAGTTGATTTCCCAGATACAAAAGGGCAACGTATTAGTTGATTTCCCAGATACAAAAGGACAACGTATTAGTTGATTTCCCAGATACAAAAGGACAACGTATTAGTTGATTTCCCAGATACAAAAGGACAACGTATTGGTTGGGTTTCCCAGATACAAAAAGACAACGTATTAGTTGGTTTCCCAGATACAAAAAGACAACGTATTAGTTGATTTCTCAGATACAAAAGGACAACGTATTAGTTGATTTCTCAGATACAAAAGGACAACGTATTAGTTGATTTCCCAGATACAAAAGGACAACGTATTAGTTGATTTCACTCTCAATCTTTGTTCGTTTGTCGAGTAAATACCAAAGCAACGCAGAATATTTTAAGGTTTTTATAATTAATAAAATACACATGAAATATTACAGTTAAAACGGTGAGAATATGATAACTTTGCTATAATAATATAATTATTACTATTATTTCTATGTGTATTAAACAAGTTATCTTATAAAATGGATTCTTGACCTCGGATGACTTCTTTTATTAAAGTATTAGCTAAGTTATTAACGTGTTGTAGATCAAGTAGCCTCTTTATTACACCTACATTTATATTCTATATCGAACTGCTAACAACTTTTATGCAAGTTACTTTTATTATCCTTTCTTGTTATCTACAATGTGATTTTCATCGGAATATTTTTATGCCAGTACTCAGTATCTTCACATTTAAATTATGGATTTCACGAAAAAAGAGCCCCCAAAAGGGACTTCTATGTTTACAAGTAAACAACAAACTTTTCAAAACAGGAAGTAAATGTAGTTTATCAATCCTTCAAAAATAAGATAGTGCTATTATGTGAGTGATACAAATGCCATCCCTACCGTCTTCTCTACATTGTTTTTGAAGGATTGGTATTAGCCATCCCTACATTTACTTTCTTTTTTGTAAAGTTTTTTCTTTACTTGGATGCTTATTTTTTAATGCAGTGTTTCAATAGACATAGGAAGGTTGTATTTATAACCAAGTACTAAATGCAATGAGGCTCCAACTGTAATATTTATTGTTTATCTACTATTGGCTGGTAATTCATGTTTCACCCTGTACTTAAGCTTTTCAAAGGAAAGAAAAAACACCTTTCTGTAAGAAAGCTAACTTCCAGGGGTAATGATAACATTGTTTACACTAGAATTATTATTATTTTTTTTAATTACCACTAGTTAATAATACTTTTAAAAGAGGATACTTCGTTTGAAACTGTCACCTCAGTGAAATTGGTTGACACCGTTGTTTTGGTTTTGAGTTATTTGTGTATATATATATATATATATATATATACTTCTGTGTGTGTCTATCTGTTTGTCCCTTATCTAAGTACTCCTAGTTCGCTGGAACAATCTCAACTAAGTTTTGTGGGATGATAATTTGGAACATGGGGCGTGTTAATGATTGG